GTGGGTTGGGGGCGTGGGGGTAACCTATTGTCTCAATTGATAATCGTTCCCATTCAATATATTCCATATTTTCTTTATCTCATTGCTGTTTGGTATTGAACAGCTCTGTTTTGCTGCTAAAACCTGGTACGGAGGGTTTTTAGGCATGATGGTTTTTGGTGCAAGTGAAGTGAGCAGAAATGTGGACCTTGGCGACGAGACAACCACAATGATGTGCAAATTTGTTATCCGAGCATCAGACGAATCCATTACCAAGGAGATTGCTTCAGATTTTCAGGGTTGGTTGGATGACCTAACTGATGGCGGTGTTGAATACATGCCTGAAGATGAAGTGAAGGTGACTGCTGCTGAAAATCTAAAGATTTCAATGGAACGAATAGCCTTACTAAAGGCAGCAAGACCTCGCCCTAAGTCTCCAAAATCCGAGGATGAAGAAGAGGAGGAAGAAGAAGACGATGAGAACAATAAGAACGATGACATACTTAACGTTGAAGGTGGTAAAACAAAGGGACCAACTACTCTATTCAAGTTGACAGCAGAAGAAGCCGAGCATCGAGCACTTCAAGCAGCTATTATTCAAGAATGGCATATGCTCTGTAAAGATAGAAACACCAAAGTAAATTAATTTTTTTGCTTACTTTCTTTTGACATATTTTGGTTTGATAATTGATTTAGAAGTTAGTTGATTGAAATGAGTTCCAAATTTGTTTTTATGTAATTCTAGTTTATTTCTTTTCTCCCAGTTTTGTAATTTCTATGTACCTTTTTGAAGCACTCTGAGGCTGTAAATTAATTCTATTACTACTATATTTTTGTTTGTTCAAATGAACTTTTATCGACCTTTTTTTATATAATTTAATTTCCTCTCCATAGTTGATATTAGGATCTTGTGGAATATTCACAGTTTGATAGCCAAAAAAGAATTACTTTATATTAGATTAACAAATTTCACTATGGCAAATACTTACAGCATACATCAACATTCTTTTTTTTATACAGGCCAAACACATATGCAAGTCCTTAAACTTGTCTCTAAATTTCATTAAACTTGTCTCTAAATTTCAATTTGACACTTTTTTTCAAAGAATCAACATAGTGGAATGTGTGTACTTCACATGCAATGACATGGCATAAAAACTAATTAAAAACACATACACAACTCCTCTAACTTGCCCCCATTTTTCATTCCATTTTAATCCTTCAACTCTATTTTATATAGTATCATTTAAACACAAAACACTAAATTTATGATTTCTTCATTTTTGTTTATGTTCTTCATTTCCACTTTTTCATTTTAAAAATCAACGTCATATCTTTTTTTAAAAATAAAATAAAATAATGGATGAACATCATTTTTTAAAAAGAATATTTTTTTTAGAGTTTCTGTACATTATTGTGTGAAAAGTGTGTTGATTTTCTTTTTTAACAATTAATTAAATTAAAGAACACCACATATTTTTTTTTTCATATCTAGTCTATTTGGACTAACTCAAATACCAGCATTCTAATTTTTCATTCAACTAAATACTAGTAAAAAAACTCATGTTCATTGCTAATTAATAACACTATAAAAGAATGTTGAAACTCGACAGACTTTGTTGAGTTATCATTGATTTTCTTAAGAAAAACAATCGACGCACTTTCGTCGGTTATTTTTCACGCAAAATATAGGGAAACTCTTAAAAAGGAAATTGTTATTTTTAAAAAAAAAAAATCAATGATCATCCATCAATTTTAAGTTTTTACAATAACTAACGGATGAACGCCGATTTTAAAATGCAAATGTGCAGTTGAATAACATATATAGAAATAAAGAAATCATAAAATTAGTATTTTGTGTTAAATGGTACATAAAAAAAAATAGAGTTGAAGGGTAATCTTTTATTATTATTTTAAAAAATACTTTTTTTTGTCTTTCACTCTCTTAGAGAAAGTGTGATGCACACATTCTGCCATATCACTTAGAAGTGCCAAAATGGAACATAAAAATTGGAGTTGAAGGGTTAAAATAGAACAAGGTTGAGTTGAAGTGCCAAAATAAAATTTAGGGACAAGTTTAAGGGTCTGCACATGTGTTTGAACTTTTATATATATATTTTCATGACAGAAACCAGATCACATGTATGTCAAAAAATTGTACATTAAATTAATTTCCAAACATGGTATTTATGAATTCAAAACAAACCTATGAAAAAAAGAAGAGCAAAACAAAAGATAAAAAAATTCTAGTGAAGACATGGTGGAAATATCTATTTTAAAAGCTTATGAAGAAAATAAAATAATTGAAAAGAGGACATGTTTGTTTTATCTCATGAAAAGTTGAATAAAAAAAAAGTAAATATAGAGTAGATAGGAAAGAACAAGGAGAACAATAAATTTAATGTATAACTTAATGAAAAGTAAAAAATTATTTGACTTATTGAAAAGTAAAAGATCACTAAGAGATTTTAGAGAATATACTATTAAAAAACACTATAATTAATTATAAATTTCTTCGCTGGTCTGTCGTTATTTAGTTTGTAGCTAATGAAAATTTGTCGCTAACTCATCACTAAGTAGAATTATCGATCGATTTTACTGTTTAGTTACAAAATTCTATGAAATGATCATTTCTAATTTCGTAAGCGATTCAATAGAAATGGAGAAATTTTGAATAAATGCATTGGAACTTGCTAATCGGAAGAGAAAAAAAAAAAGCAATGCCAAAAACTCGATGAAAATAAAAGACTTTTAGCTAGCAAGATAGTACAAAAAAAAGTTGATTCTAGTAATTTGCTAAATCTATCTCCAAACAGAATGCTATTAATAACTTAAATTACTAGCTTCTTATCTCCCTAACTAACCTTAAAATCCATATTAGATTATAACAAAACATTTATCTCCAAACAGAATGTTATTAATGACTTAAATTACTAGCTTCTTACCTCCCTAACTAACCTTAAAATCCATGTTTGCATATTTGATTGATTTCAGATATATATTTTTTTTAAAAAATAGAAATACTTTTGAAATTTACAAATTAAATAAGCCATAAACGTTTATGTGATCATAAACTATCTCGTTAAAGATAAAATGATAAATTTAAAATTAAATTATTTCCAAACATAAAATATTCATTTTGGAATAAACTAAAATTAAAAAATATGTCACATAAAATGTAACATTGAACATAATTAATGAACTAACTGTAAGCTTCGTAGTAAATAATAACTATACATGATAAGCTCCAAACTAAAATTTGTGAATCAAATTGAAATGAAACAAAATAATTTTTAATTAAGGTTTTCAAAGTATCATTTAATCATCTTGAAATCTTAACTAATTGTAAACTTCACAATTGCTATACTAAAGTTTGTGTATTGCAAATATTGGGAAATTCACATTTCGACCACATTTAAAACATTATTCGCATCATATCAATAAAAGAATATAGTTACACTATTCACAATTTTTTAAAATTGAATATGACTTCACCATTATGAGCGATACATTTCAACCAACACCTATGCAATTCACTATCTTGAAATACAACTAAGTAAATCTTTAATTAAAATATCATTTGATCATCTTAAAATCAGAGTTATTACAAATTTATTATACTTTTCTGAATATCTATCTATACTTATAAATTAAAAAAAGATATATCATTTCTGATTTAATTATTCTGTGTACACTTTACCACCACTTCGGCTCATAATCCAAAAAACAATCTTAGATTTGATTTAAAGATGTAACAATTCAATTTAAGAAATTGTCAACATTAATTTTTATACTTTATTCAAGAAACTTCAAAAGCTTTACAACTCTACAAAAAGCTAAAATAGTAGTAATTCCAAGCCAAAAATAGGTGAATATCTTTATTACCATCTTATCTCCAACTAACTTATTAACTCTTTCATTACTACAAAGGAAAATTTTTCAAAGTTACTTTTCCCACCATGAAAACTTGACATTCGTCTTCACAAAACTTTAGAACATGCAGAAAAATCCAATGCTAAAACCTCCCTCGTCTTGACACGAATTCGTATTTGATAATAGTTCTCTCAAGTTTGTTTAGTATAAAAGCTCGGACTTACCATCTCAATATCTAGATTCAATCAAAGTAATATATCTACTGTGAAGAAATGTTAGTACATTAGAGCTCACCTCTATGACTATTAAGTACTTTGATACAATGAAAAACTCATTGACTCTGTTTAAGAAGCAATTTTGTGTTTCTCTATGTTTTCTTGTGTTGTTTTTCTCTATTGCTGTAGCACAAGAGCTTCTTTTTAATGGAGATGTTTCCAAGAAATGTAAGGAGGGAACAGGATCCAGTTACCTTTGTTCTTGGGCTAGCGATAACAATTTTGCTCCATCCCTTGTACGACAATCAACCTTGAATTCACGAGTATATACTGTATACACACCTCCACAACCTTCATCATCTATCTATGAGACAAAACCTCCTAAATATCCTTATCCATCATATAGGCCCTTTCACAAAGTGTCTTATGCAAATTATCCTCAACCAAAGGTCTATAGGAGATCACTATTAAAAATTATACCAACTTCAGCTTATGACCAACCATCTCCACCACCTCTTCAAACACCTCCTACTTACCAGCCACCACCCCTTCCTGCCTACAAACCTCCACCAAGCCCACCACCCCCTCCTACCTACAAACCTCCACCAAGTCCATCGCCTCCTCCACCACCTCCTCCTGCCTACAAACCTCTACCAAGTCCATCACCTCCTCCACCGCCCCCACCACCCTCTCCTGCCTACAAACCTTCACCAAGTCCATCACCTCCTCCACCACCCCCTCCTGCCTACAAACCTTCACCAAGTCCATCACCTCCTCCACCACCCCCTCCTGCCTACAAACCTTCACCAAGTCCATCACCTCCTCCACCACCCCCTCCTGCCTACAAACCTTCACCAAGTCCATCACCTCCTCCACCACCCCCTCCTGCCTACAAACCTTCACCAAGTCCATCACCTCCTCCACCACCCCCTCCTGCCTACAAACCTCTACCAAGTCCATCACCTCCTCCACCGCCCCCACCACCCTCTCCTGCCTACAAACCTTCACCAAGTCCATCACCTCCTCCACCACCCCCTCCTGCCTACAAACCTTCACCAAGTCCATCACCTCCTCCACCACCCCCTCCTGCCTACAAACCTCCACCAAGTCCATCGCCTCCTCCACCACCCCCACCTGCCTACAAACCTCCACCAAGTCCATCGCCTCCTCCACCACCTCCTCCTGCCTACAAACCTCTACCAAGTCCATCACCTCCTCCACCGCCCCCACCACCCTCTCCTGCCTACAAACCTTCACCAAGTCCATCACCTCCTCCACCACCCCCTCCTGCCTACAAACCTCCACCAAGTCCACCGCCTCCACCACCCCCTCCTGCATACAAACCTCCACCAAGTCCATCGCCTCCTCCACCAAGCCCACCACCCCCTCCTGCCTACAAACCTCCACCAAGTCCATTGCCTCCTCCACCGCCACCACCTG